GAAATCTTAGCTCTGAGTGGCGTTTTCACTCTCAGTGTTCGCAGTATCATTTCCTAGGCCTGAGACAGATATATCAGACTGAGGACAGTTCATAAATCCAACAAGTCAGCTCCGATGTTTAGGGCGAATACTCAACTCTTGGTTTTGCCGTTTCTAAGTTTATAACCTACCATGCTGTAAAACTGAATGGCTTTTTGTACAATGACACAGCTGTCCAGAGTGCATATATTTGACTGACAAATGAGGTTCAGCTCGGGGTTTGTAAACTGATTAGTCATATCATTTAGATTAAGGTGAGCCAGTTAGTCAATGGGAAGGTCTTAGACATAATTTGTCAATTAAGCGTCAAGGATTTGTGTATTTAACCTTTACTTATACGGTTAGTTTTGGCAGAGTCATTCACATGTTTTACTACATGCTGTCTTAATGCTTTATATGGTAACTTCCTGAATAGCATAATTACTTCTGCCAAGGATGACGTTTTTCAGTTTGACCGTCAGCAGGATTAGGAAAAAACTACTCTGCCTATTTTTATGAAACTTGGTATTAAGATAAAGCATGAGTCAAGGAAGAAGCTCTTAAAATATTGGAGTGGATTGGCATTAACGGATATCTGATTTATTCAACTGTCCTTCCAGTTCTCTTCATCATTTCAAGCATTGTCCTGGCCTGCTGGACCTACAATGTAAATGTTTTTGCATGTTCTAACCTCAAGTTATTTGTGCTTGTTGCATGTATTAACATTTGTAGTTGTTTGGTCTGGAACATTTTCATTTTGAATTAGAAGTTGTCATCTGCTCCAATGGTTGAATCTGTAAATGGATACCTAGAACTGACCTGATACCTAGAAGAGAAGACGATGCAAACAGGAGAACGTAGCGCAGAGTATAGGCAGTGATGTAACCAATGACAATGACCCTCTGTGACTCTCAGAGTCCAGCGCACACAGGGTGGAAGTTAACAAGCGCTCAGCGGGGGGGAGGGATGGGAGACAAAAGGACGGGGTCGTCTGACAGTGACATATCTGTGTCCCCTCTGTGTAGCAGGAAGTGACCCTTTCAGAGGGGGTGAACAACACGGGTGGTTTTCATGACATCCGAGTCATTACTTTGACACAATGCACTTCAACAGTAGAGTTCTTAATTACCCTTAATTGCTGTGTTGACGTGCATTGTTGCCGGATCAGGCTAATACTGGGCTTTATTAAATATTGAATGTCGGCCTGTCAGTGTGGAGGCAACGGAGGTTAGTCTGGGTCTCATGATAATTAAAACTGTATACACCGACAACAATGCAAGCCTTAGGTAGATCCTCAATCCAGTAATGAATTGGAGTTCAGTTAGTTACAAGCAAGTTTGACTTTGACTTCTACATTTTAGTGTAGAAGTCAAACTTGCTGGTTTCTTTCTATAATTAAGCCAACAAAGCTTTTAGTGCACTGACTGAAGCTTTGTGATGCCTCCTGAGGAAGGCACATGCCAGAAGAATCTGGGCATTTTAAGTGTTTTTGACACACAATATTTAACAAATAGGCTAATGGAATAACTGTTTGAAAACTATTTTCTATGCTTTAGATTTTGTGCATTTCTTTACGAAATGTCGATATGAAAAATACAAAAATATATAGTTGAACTTGTATTGCTTTACAAGATAATTGGCTACATTTTAAATGTTGTTTGTGCATGATGAGTCAAAGGACTAAACTGTGGAAATAGAGTTATTAAAATCTGCAAAAATCTTAATTTCTAGGGGCCACATTAACTGACCTGTAAACGGTGAATTGTTAACTCAAATATGTATTGTACTGTAAGTCAACAACAGTTTAAAACATTTGATATTTAAAGGTAGGGTAGGTAAGTTTGAGAAACCGGCTCGAGATACACTTTTTGTTATATTCCATGGAATGCTCTTAACATCCCGATAGCAATGAATATCTTAAGTGCTTTGACAAAAAATCCATAAAAAAATGTCATCTGTGGAAGCCGTAATACTGTAAAAAGTACGACCAATCATTTTAGCCGGCCCGGCTAAAATAACTGGATGGCCTACCTGCCTGTCAGCCTTCCATCTGTGCACAAACTTATCTCGTGCCCTCATTGGTCATGTGCGCGTTCGTGTGTGTTGGAGGAGGGGCTCTATAAGGAAGTGGCAGATTTTCTCCGGTTGTGTATTTTCAAATTCTAGCGATCTCGAGCCGGTTTCTCAAACTTACCTACCCTACCTTTAACTTATGTTAAGTCATGCTCCATTATTTGGAAGAATGAATCATGAAGCTTGAAAGAAAACAATATTTTCTTGGCAGTATTTTACAGCTTTTTATATCAAATGAAAGAGAGAGAGGAAATGGATCAGATGTTTCTGAGTCAGGTTTTGTCGGAACGATATTCCATTCCTTATTTTTTCTGTGGTTGCGGAAGTGACTCAACACCAGACTTTCACATTTTGGGTACAGTTGAGTCAATTTACAGATTTCAGTTCGTTTTGAAAAGATGCTCTTCCCTGCATACTAATAAAAAGTAGTGAAAACTGTAACTACAATTGATTTTTTTAGGGTTACGTTGACGTTTATTGTATTGGGTGTTGTCTGGAATCTGTGAGATTGAACAGTTGGCTGAAAGAAAAGCCCATTCAAGAAGGAAAAAAACGGACATGTTTTTCTTTTGTTTTGATTGGGTAGAGTTACACCGGTTTACCGCTGATCTTCCCGAAAACTGTTTGACTCAGCGCCTGTAAACAGCCGACCACAAACATTCCCCTGGCGGCGGCGGCGAGGGGACAACCGACACCACCGACACACACACACACACAGAGGAAGTGAACCCGAGAGAGGAAGCACATTTCTGCTGCGCTGCCCACTTTTTTTCCCTTCACCGTCCGAGAAGACGGATCGATATGTATCAGAGAGAAGACAGGCACCTAAAAAGCTGAGTCAAGGCACACACACACATATATTTGTACTTGTATGCATGTGAGTACCCTTGCTTCTAACCACAATGACCACATGCCTGAAATTACAGCTCAAAACTCTTATGTTATCCTTTAAAAACCTCAACAGGAAACCACTAACTTCCAAAAATGCAATTCTTGGATTACAGGGATGCTATCTGTTGTAGCATTCCCCATTTCGGGAATAAATAAAGTTGACCATTTTGCCGTACTGGGATTGTTTGAAAGCGTGGAGGGATAATATGACTGGAATGCAGCCTCGCAGGAAATGGACTGACAGCTGTCATGCCGTACAAGTGTCACACACTCTGTAATTGTGTGCAGCATATGGATGAATGTGCTGTATGTGCGTGTGTGTCGCAGGGGGTCAGGGTGCAAGAGAAGGACAGTGAAGCGATTAGAAAAATCAATCAAGCAAGTGTAGAGATAACTGAGGAATCGTTTGTCACTTTGACACAACCTTGAACTCTGTGAGATAACACTAAACGTTTTTCCACTATTTTCTGAGAGGTGACGATAGACTTTTAGACCAAACGAGAAAATGAATTGTCATAAAAAATCACAATGGCTTTCACTGCTTTGTGGAACACTGCCAGTCTATTAACTGCGCAGTTATGAGTTCCTAAGAATTAACAAGAATTGTATGCAAAACATCACCTAAAAATAAAGTCTTAGCTTTGCAAAACCTGTTTCTGTTATACTTTGTGTTATTGCCTTTTCATGTTATATTTTATGTATTCTGCATAAAATCTAAGCCAGAACAACAAGAATATTAGCAGAATACATCTATGACAATATCAGGGGATTTAAACGGAGACAATACTGGGATTTTAGGTTATATAAAACAGCTTTTGGTGAGGGAGGGGAGTACCAATCACCCTCATCCCTTGAAGCACTCCGGACAAATCCATTCATAAAAGACCCACCCCTTCTACATCCGCTCATATACACACACACAAACACACACTCACAATCACACACACAGCCATCCGGGACGTCACAGGTGGTCACCGGCAGTTTATTACCACCTTCTTCCTGTGTGTGTGGGGGTTTTAATGCAGAACATTATTGATAAACTGGCTGCCGTGAAGCGTACAAATACAGATTTATGACCCAGTTTTAAAAGACTGAGTAACACAGCTATAGGTTAATATTGTATAAGTTATGCAACTTAATATGGTTCAATAGAAAGACACTTGATAATATCAATAGCTCTTGTCTCTGTAGAAATATTGTGGGAATATTCGTCTGGCAAGTAATGAAAAGGACATTGGTGAATGCCTCCAGCGACACTAAACCCAATCCAATTAGTTGAATCAATGGTGTGTTAAATGCCCTCCTCGGAATGGGAAATTTACCAACTTGCCACTTAACAGTCAAGTTCAAGACTGAGTCGTGTCAAGTCAACAAGGCGTTGCAAATTTCACATGGCTCGTTACTCCATTTTAGATATAGAAGAAAGTCCTGTTTCTATTTAAAAAATATGTTGATTTAGTTTTTTGGAGATAAAAGGAAGAAGGAGTTGCAAAACATGTTCATTTGAATGAACTTGATCATCTATTAAGACCATGAATGCCCCATTTCTTATACTTTCCCACCTCAATCGACCAATTTTATACCAAAAACAAGTGGGAAAACTGCATTTTACAGGCCGACTGTGAAGGAGCCAATCTCACACAGACATCAATTATTGGTTTATTTGTTCAGTTATTGTTGTCAATCGTTTTTTTTTGGAGAAAGGAGTTGCAAAACATGTGAATGTTAATGACTTTCACTCTATTTAGGCCAGGAAAGCCCCATTTCTTCAACTTTCCCTCCACAAAATGTGATGCCAAAGCTACATTTTACAGACAGGCTGTGAAGTATCTCACACATACATCATGCAACATTACGCAATGAGGGAAATGATCTTATCCCTGACTGACTCCCAGCATGATGCATTTAATAAACTACACCTGGGAGGTGATTTTGTCTTAAAGAAATATCCCCAAACACAAAAAAGACAGCGTGTTGCATTTGAGGAAAATAAAGAGAAAAAGAGACTCGGTACTCACCCCGGACGCAGCGATAATGAGTCAGCTACAGACGGGGAGAGATGATGGGAAGATAATCTCCTCCGGAACAGAAAGCAGCTCTGTGGGAATGTTATGTCGGCCTGAGAGAGGATAGACGGGAAGAAGAAGAAGAACAAAAAGTCCACTCCGTCAGTCACTTTTTGCTGCTTTAAGTCGTGCAGGGATGGGTTTTAATGTTTGGCATCGGCGTGGGGAGACGGGTCCGTGAAGGGGGCACCGGGGAGATGAAGTGTCACTCAGTGTGGAGAGAAAGAGACAGATATTTAGGAGGGTCGTGAGTCTCTGTCCGCGTGCCTCACTATCCGCTGCTCAGTCACCGGCTGCAGAAACGTGGAAACGCCTTTTCCTCTCTCTCTCTCTCTCTCTCTCTCTATCTCTCTCTCTCTCTCTCTCTCTCTCTCTTCTCTCTCTCTCTCTCTCTCTCTCTCTCTCTCTCTCTCTCTCTCTCTCTCTCTCTCTCTCTCTCTCTCTCTCTCTCTCTCTCTCTCTCTCTCTTCCTCTGTCTGTCTCTCTCTCTCCCGCGGTCACGGTTAAGCACGCTGTCTGATTCATCCAGAGATCCTCTATTGCAAACGAAGTCTCACTCTCTCAGTAAACCCATTGACTGTATATGAGTAAACCCCGGCCCTTAGTGACTGAATGTTTGCATGGAATAAAATACAAATGAATCTGATTCAAATGGGGATAAACAACCGAAAAAAACGTGTAATAGCTACGTTGGTGCACAGGGCAAAAAGTAGTAGTTTCGCAAAAATACCTCTCAATTGTGAGATGTTTTTTTGAGGAAAATCCAACATTTTAGGATAGTTTCGGCAAAACATTTTATATTTTACTATCAGAATAAAAAAAATTGGGAAAAATTGGTTTCCGTAGAAAGTCCAGTACATTACAATTACTCACAATTACTCACTAGCCACTTTATTTAGTACACCTTGCTGGTACCGAGTTGGACCAGCTTTTGCATTCAAAACTGCCTTAATTATTCGTGGCATTGACTCAACAAGCTGCTGGAAACATTCCTCAGAGATTTTGGTCCATATTGACATGATAGCTTTTATCGAGAAATGTATGTTTTACTTTCAGAAACTAAACATTGGGCACAATTGGGTTTCCGCAAAAAGTCCAGTACATTGCAATATATAGTGTTGAAGGAATTTGTCCTGAACACGGAAATTAGTTAGCGTTAGCACTGCAGGACCTCATCTACCTAAAGTCAATGTTTTTTTAAATTCTTTTTTGGTTATAAATAAGGTGGTTAACACAAGCTTACGATATGTTCTTGTTTTGTTAAAATAAGTCAGATAATACCCCACTTGTGAATGTATGAAGCTTTGGTGCATCTTCAAAATGGCAGTTGCTAACAAGTGACAAAATAAGACCAGTAAACATCATCACGTCAAACATGACACCGCCTTTAGCTTAGAATTTGTCATGCATCATACTCAGTGTTTTGGCCGTTGCTAAAAATGGAGGCTTGGGAAACAAGTTGATGTTTAGCAAAACTTAAAACTATTTCTGGTCAATGTGCGGAAAGAGAACAGATATTTTTGAAAATCAATCCACTGTCAAATCTTGGATGGAAGGATGGACTGATGGATGTTAATATGTGCTATACGCTACTGTATATGTTACAAACTGACTTCATCTAAAATGGTGTATTATCTTTCATACATTTCATTGATTGGATGTTTCCTGTTCTCCTTGCACATTTCCTCCTCAGAAAAAAGCACCGAGTGAGAGCTCTGTTTGTCCCGCTTCCTCCCAATTCTGCTTTTCCTCAGACACTGGCACAAACTCAGACACACACATTCGCACACACATTTTTCAAAGCTGATGTCACCGGGCTATCCGGTCCCGGCCCGCCTCATCCTCCCCTCTCTCCCATCACACGATCCAAAACACCACCACCCCATCCCCAAACCTCTACCCCTCCAACCCCAACTCCATTCTTTTAAAAAGTGACAGCGAGCCAACATGATCTGTGCTGCTGGGTGTTGATCCATTAAATGAAGTTAAATCATCCCTCAGGTTCCCATGTTTGTCCTCCTGAAAGAAAGGCTGCCATGCTGCATGCAGTACAATTTAACTGGATTCAAGTAGGAAAACAGCTAAAAATATCTTTATATTTTTGAAGATTTATCCTTGAAACAGCCTCCATCCATCCCTCCAAAATGCTCATATGACAGCTGCATTAGCTCTTGTGCACAGTCTTTAAAGAGTAACTTAAAACCGGACGTTCACAGGTTTTGGAGAGCAGAGTGTGCACAACCAGTGCATGAAGCCGCTGAGAGAAATGGTCCTGCTTGCAGCTATATAGTTTTAAAGACTTCTAATGGTTTCACATTCCTCAGGTGCGTGTGAACGTAACATTTTTCACTTTTTATTTAAAGGTAGCCTACACTATATAAATTGTCACTATGGTCAAAAGATTCAAATTCACAAAAGGAATGAAAAAAATAAGTATGACTGAGTTTGAGTTTGATCTTTTTTTTTTATCAGTTCATGCTTTTGAACTCAGTCGCTCAGAGCAATATTTTGTGGTCAGGACATTTCCAAAAATATGTGGTGCATCTCATGACCTTCCGTCTTTCAATCTGTGCTCAAATTCTCATCAAAGAAATAAGTAATAGCTCTGCAGTGTGTCCATAACTCATGACAAATATGTGGACATGAATTAAACCTTTGTCGTGAGGTCTCTGGTCCTGAGGCAAGGAGGAAGTCTTTTTTGTAACACCAATACATAAAAACACACATGCATGTACTAAGACACACATTTATGAAAACAAATCTAAGCCTTATGACTATATTTGATTTTATGAAATGATATTGACTTTATTTTTAGATTACTTTACGATCCTCACTCACATGATCAGCCATAAAAGATGGTCTTTGTGTGTCTGTGTTGGAAAAAGTGACCTTCGATATGTCTTCAACAACAAAACGTTTAGAGGCCGACTCTTTGCAACAGCTATCAGCTTTTAATGAGGACATGATGTGCTTTGCTTCAATGGTGATTCAGTACAGTAACATATTTGGTTTTAAAGACTTGTTTGTACTTCTAGTTACCGTCAGCGGGAAAAAATAAACGTGATTAGGACCTATTGGGTTTAAATGATATTCCTAACTAATTGTGTTTGGTTTCTTTAATTTATTTTGTGATATAGGGTTAGGGTTAGGGATAGAGGGCTACAAATATACTGATAAAACATCCAGGCAAATACTATTCCATCTTATTTAATTACTAAGAAGAATTCTGCTGAGTAATCACCTTGTTTACTTCCATTCTTTTTAAGTGCATTTCTGTAAAGCTGTGTGTTAAATAAACTGCAGTGGAAACACTTGAAATACTAGTAAAGTTTAAACCCTTTTTATGCCCGGATGAGGGTTAAAAGTTGGTGCATCAATGTTAACAGATTAAGCAAATGAATCATGAAACATGTGACATGAAAACATTCCTCATAGTGTTGCTAAATGAAGTCCTCTCACGGTGTGAATGACCTCCACCTGTGACCGGCTGAATGAAAAAGAGCGCTCTCACCGTCTGTTCCTCTGAGACAATGGGCACATTGTTGTTGCTCTATGCAAATAAGTCATTTGCATAGAGCAACAGAAATGACTCCTTAGATTCACATGGACGCTGATACACAAGCATCCGAATTTACGTACGCATTAAAAATCACATTTTTTGGAGGGTTTAACTTCGCCTTTTATAACGAATTAGAAATGCCAACATGTGTCCAAACTGAATACATGATGTATTGAAAAACAAACTATTTTTCATCAGATATTCAAATAGCTCTCCGTGGGAGATGTATGAGTCAGTTGATGATCTGTGGCTGCCTGCGAGGCCATATGTTGATTAGCATGCTGGGATTTATGGAAATGCTCTCAAGATTACAGACAGACAGGAGATCACAAACTTTGTAGAACAAGGAACAGAGTGAGATCTAAAAGGTATACAACCTGATTCTGCTACTGTATTAGCACGTACGGAAAAAAACTGTACATTTGTTCAAGCTTGCTTTTGTAACAAAAAGCTTCCACGTTGAGTTTGATTTATAGAAAGGGAAGTGTGAAAAGGGAACCTTACAGTGGAGAAAACACTGGCACAGTATGGAGCATTGATCCATTAGCCGCTCGACAGGAGTCTCACAACATGCTCAGTTTACAAAGGAGCGACTAAAGTTCCCTCTCTGCCCATTTCAGTCTTTCTTTAGCTCTTTAAAGCTCTGTTACCATGGGGAAAACAATGCTTATGTGTATAAAAAACATGCAGAAGACATCTACAATATGGTATTTTGATATCTGTGATGCAACCATGAAACTATGGACTTCCAAGTCTGAATATTTCTGGTAACAAAATGTAACTTCAACGGCTTAACCTAGCGTTTTGAAAAAATGAAACCCTATATTCATGTGTTTTTAAAGATTCATATAACAAAAACTAAGAAAATGGGCACTACGTTTGTAGAGGGGTATTTAAAGGGTCCATCCAATATTTTACAGAACTCTGGAACAAAGGAAAGCTATCAAGATTTCAATATCAAAAAAGAAAGTTCAGAAATAAACAAAGCATTCAATTCGTCCTATCAGAAGTGCTATTTGCACATCAAATGGGATGTGAGTGCGTGTGTGTGTGTGTGTGTGTGTGTGTGTTTACATCCTTGGGAATGTGGAATTAGCTGTTCTTAATGCCAAACAGGAAACATATCTAATACAAGCTCTCTTTCGCTCATACATAAATGACATTTAAAGGGGCCCTATTTGTATGTAGTGTCTCTACTGTGACATGTCTCCATGCTTTAATGTTCAAAAAGCTCTTTATTTTTCTCATACTGCCTGTGCTGCAGCACCTTTTTTCACCCTCTGTCTGAAACCAGAGCCCAGTCTGCTCTGATTGGTTAGCTGGGCGGCGCTGTTGTGATTGGTCAACTGCTTAGAGATGTCCCGCCCCTTAGCCTATCACGTACAATGTGTTGAATAGTGATGACACTATTCCACTTCACAAAGGAATCCAACAGAGGAAGGACCGTTTGGGGATTTGAGCTTTTGCAGACGATTCACAAAAACAAAATAACACACTACAGGAAAGGGAAAACCACACAAAGCATAATAAAGCCTGAGGAGTTTGGGTTCAACCACATTTAATAGAAAAGCACATGTACTGTGTGTGCCTAATGGCTCTTGAGTTTGTGTGTTTTCCCCCCAAAAAATAGGGAAGTTCCTGTTTTCTCATCACAAGACCGGTTCTTCTAAAGGAGGCGAGGAAAAAAGAGCCACAGAAAGGAAGTTCTCCCAAACAAAACAACTCTGGGGATTCAGCTGGAGAGAAA